GATTATACTCTATATAATAAACTACATGCGCGGTTTCTCTACACGGAGAAAATTTCTTTCGTAATGATTACAATAGTCTATATTACAGCTCGGATATGTGACCACTTTTTGTAATGATTACAAAAACTATGTAATTTATTAAGAATTTAGTAGGAGCGATTACTATAGTTACTTTAATGAATCCAAACGCTGTATTAATCGTGTTGAAATTTATTTTTTGGAATCATTAATAGTTTAGATGTATAGGTTCAGAAAGGGTACTGTAGGCATTCACGCAGAGACTTGTTATAGTTACAATAGTCTACGTTAAAAGGAAATCTTGGATACTGTTCACATTTGTAGCGATCTAAAGAAATCAGTGATACAGACTGTAGTAGCCTTTACAACAGGACTATTGTAAAATAAGGTGACCGCGGCCGCCTTGCCTTCTTATTTTACTATAGTTCTTCGTAAAGACTGCTATTGCTATATTTCTGATTACAAATGACTGTTGTAAAGTAAAAAAAGAAAATTTTCAACTAAAATAATTTTTTTTTGTATAATTGTATAATTGTATAATTGTATAATTTTTTTTGTTCCGGTCTCGGGGCGCCTACGGCGCCCTCGACCTCCACTCGTGTCACAAAAATCACCGTAAAGAAATGGCTGCCTTTATCCTCTTGTTGCTTAATATACTATTTCACTATGGAAATGTAATAAAAAATAGACCTTACAATATTAAAGACTAACAATGAACAATAATTGTATTAATTATTGAGAACTACGTGATTTTTTACATTTAAAGTGTATAAGTCTTTCTCGCAAGCGGTGAACTTTCATAGCAGTTAGTATATAAGGAAGTTTAAGTCATGTATAAATATGTGTAAATAGCGATCGTTATTATGTTATGCGTTTAGTATTTAAGTTAGATTCATGTACTTAGGGTTTAGTGAAATTGTTTAGTTTAATAATATAATTAATCTTGAAGTGGATAGTCTTGGAAGAGTGAAATTGATGTGCAATACATGATTAGAAGTCATGAATTACAAAAAAATTTTATTTTTAATTTGTAATTTAAAAAAATTTTTTTATTTCAATAAACCACAGTTCTGAAGAGGACAGCTGAGCTGTCGAAACGTAAAAACATCTTTATTTTATTTCTAATTTGACTCAGAGTGATCGATAGTTTACAACATCTTACATATTATTAAATTTTATTTTAGTTGAAAATTTTCTTTTTTAACTTTACAACAGTCATTTGTAATCAGAAATATAGCAATAGTAGTCTTTACGAAGAACTATAGTAAAATAAGAAGGCAAGGCAGCCGCGGTCACCTTATTTTACAATAGTCCTGTTGTAAAGACTACTACAGACTGTATCACTGATTCCCTTAGATTGCTGCAAATGTGGATAGAATCCAAGATTTCCTTTTAACGTAGACTATTGTAATCAGTCACATAGACTTTGTGCTAACTCATATTTAGTTCGTATTTATTTCAAATAAATTTTTAATGAGTACGTTCGACTTACAGAATTGTTACAATGAAGCTACTTTAGGCATTACGAAAAGTGGTCACATATCCGAGCAGTACTGTTCGACTATTGTAATCATTAACAGAAAATTTTTCTCCGTGTACATTGAAATGCGAGCTTCTTTTTATGAAAAATATTAAAGCCATTTTAAATCTTAATTAAGAATTTTCCATTGATACGCTTTCCTACTAATATAAACATTTTAATTTCACTTTTAATTAACATTTAATCAAATATTTGATTTGATTCTCAAATTTTTGTTAAACTTGTAAATTAACATCAATATTCGAAGTATTTTTATTACTTTAATTAAAACTGTTTTATCTCAAATTAAAACAATTTTCAATATCAATAAAATTTTTATTTTTAATATTTTATTTTTATTTACTTTAAACTGTTATTGGTTTATTTGATTGATAAGTCCATCTACTAAGTCATATAAATAACTAATTCCACAAATTAATGAGGTAATGAAAATTATAATATTTTCATTATTATTATTATTGCTAGGTATTATAATATTACGTCCACAAACGTCAATTTATATAAATAAACATCAAGAGATCGAACAATTAATGTAAAATCAAACAACTGCGGGAATTTCATACTAAAACAAATTTGCCCAAAACTTTGGGTTTAATAAAGTAAACAAGTCCGGCTTGTTTATATATAATTTTGTAAGTAAATAATGTTAACATTATCTTTTAATTCAGTTATACAGAAAGTTATTTTAGAGCAAACATTGTTGTAATTAAATTATTAATAACAGTACATAATAAACAGGTGAAACTTTTTAAATTATTATTCGCTGGCAAAAATATTTTTATACAGAAATAATTGAAAAATAAAGTACAGTGGAAACTCGATTATCCGAACCTCTGTTATCCGAACCCTCTATTATCCGAACCGAAAATCATTTTATCCGAACTTCTATTATCCGAACTTTTTTTTGACCTCCCGATTCTTTCAAAGGAAAATAACGATATTTATGACAGAAAAATCTTAAAAAATTCTGAATTCTATGTTTTATTAATATATTATTATGAATTAATATATATTTACGTATATATACTGATGTATATTTAAAAAATGGATTAAATGAAATATATATAATTCAACTGTCGATTTTTTTACTTTAATTATATGCCTAGGTTAGTTCGGATAATCGAGGTTCCACTGTAATCTGAAAATTCAGACTTTTTTTTAAATGAGAAAATATTATAAAAAAATTATAAATACCTACGTTAAATCAACAAAATTTGCGATAAAACTTCTGAAGGGTACATTTTCATATTATGAAAGATGGTTCATTTATAAATTAGAAGAAAATTTCCAACAGTGCACAGTTTACGCTAAAGTCAATTTAACTAAAATATATGATATTAAAATTATTTAGTATGCAAATTATGATGAATCTCAAAAATTTTTAACTCATTTTTTATGTACATTTTATATACACCTACAAATATATATAGAAAGAAAATTATCTCTGATTTATTTATTTTTTTAAATTTTAATGCAAAAAAGTGTTCTATATTCTGTTTGCACTTTATAGAATTTTTATTTGCGCAGTATAATAATTAATTCAATTATAAAATATATGTGTAACCGTAAAAGCTTTTATTATAGGAGAAAATTTACATAAGAATAAAAGTTAACAATAATTATTTTTCATATTTATTTCAAACAATAACAATTTTAGAGCTTCTCAACTTCAATTGTTTATTGTTTTCTTTCTTCTTTATAATTACTACTATTACTTTTCCAAATAAATTGTTCAATATTAATTTTATATTAAACCCTTTCTATTTTTCTGCTTTTAAATTTAAAAAAAATTGATAATTTATTATACAAGTAAAATTAAATATAATAAAAATGTTTGTAAGAGTTTTATTATATTTATGATAAAATATTTATTATTTTTCTTTCAATATTTTATTTTAAAATTGCTATTACCATTTTAATTAATTTTTTCCTATTCAGAAAATTTCAATTTCTTGTTTACAACAATTTAAATAACTTTAAAAATAGAACAGGAAATATTTGTAAAATCTAATTCTTCAGAAATTTAAATACAATTTATTGTTCAAAAACTTTAATTTATTTTAAACGACAAGTATATTTAATTTTTTAATCATTTTTAATACTATTTAACATTTATTAAATAAAGTTCATTCGTCTTAATAGAAAAAATAAAATTTTCTTATACAGTAATATGAATCTAAATAAACAAAAAAATTTTTAGTAAAAAGTGAATTTTTCTACTTTCATTGTAATTAATTCTATAATTTTCATTATAATATATATATATACCTTATATACATCAGTCAATTCGTCTTGATGCAAAGAATAAGATTTTTGATTTATTTTTCAATAAATAATAACATTTTATTGTACAGCAACATGATTTTTAAGAAAAAAAGAATTTTTATTAAAAGTGCAAATTTTTTGTCTATAAATGGTTTTAATTCTATAAATTTAAATACAAGATATACTATATATATACCAATCGATCCGTCTTGGTGCAAAGAATAAGATTTTGGAAATAAATGAGTAAGATTTTTTTATACAGCAACATAATTTTGCGAAAAGAACTCATTTTTTGATAAAAATGCGAATTTTTCAGCTTCAATTGTGATTAACTCTATAAATTCTCATACAATTTATACTTTTTATAGTCCAATCGATTCGTCTTGATGTAAAGAATAAGATTTTATTATATATTAACTTCAATAAAAAAAAATTTTTTAGAAAAAAGTAAAAAAAAAAAAATTTTTTGAGGATTTTTCAAAGTCCATTAATCCATTTCAAGATATTTTTATGATAAATATATCTGGCAAATTTTAGCCAAATTCGTTAAAACCTCTTCGAGTTATCGTGTTCGCAAAAAACGGGATCCACACACACACACACACACACACATACATCCGGACAATTGTTCAGGGTCTTATATAACATAGTTCTATAAAGAAGAAAATTTGTTTAAAGGATTTTTAAAAATTTTGTAAATAAAACGACTACAAAGCTTCCTCACGACGAAGCAAAATGGCTAAAAATTGCTTACTTTACAGTAATATCAGGAATAATTTTGATAATTTTTTACGATTTAATGTGAACAGTAATTGAACAAAAAATTGTTCAACGGAAATTGAGGGTGTCGATCGAAGGACCGGTTACAATTTTTTTCAACTAAAAATCATTGTCAAATAAATAAAAAATTAAAAGGTTTTAAATCACAATTTTTTGAGGAACCTTTTTGTAATCTTTGTACAAATACAAAATGCTTATTACAAGAAATTAAAATTTGTAATACTTTTTTAATTTAGAAACGGAGAATTATGACCCTTAAAAAAATATTACTGGTTCTTCGTTCAGGACCCTCAATTATAATCTATATCAATTAATATAAAAAAATGCAATTCTTCCTAATTTACTTTCCTGAATATTTTTGTTGTTTTTCTAAGTATGTTTTATTTTTATTTTTCAGGCAAATCGTCATGATTGCACGTGTTTCTTTGACGAGCGCACACCGTATGGGGAAATACAATCGAGATCACGTAATATCGATCTCATTGTGTTGGATTTACTCTCTGAAAATCCCAATTGACTGAAGAGTTTTCACTCACACTGAAGTAACATATTATAGAAACGGGGAAAAAGCGAAGACTAGTTTCATATTTCATTGACACGTGAATAACGATTATATCTCTCGCGAGTGTCGTCATATAACATACCCATTCATATAGGCATACATATATGCACGTGAAATCAAAAACTTTTTTCGTGAAAACGTAACTTTTTTCCTTCATCCCTCCTACAAACTTTATTTTTTTCCCCTCTGTACGACAGGCATACGCACACAAACACAAAAAATACTTTCTTCAAGGGGAAAAAAAAATTTTCAAGGTCGTTTCTCTTCTGTATACGTGATGAAAGAAATACTACAAGAGGACCTTTGGAGATGATGAAACGTCCAAGATAACGGTAACATATTGTTTTAGCTTATTTTAATTTTCTATATAGAGAGGGTAGAATATGAAAAAGAGAAAAGAAAAAAGAAAAAATGAAGTTCTTTGCCTAAAAATAATATTTGGATTTTTCTATACATTAAATTATATAATATATTTACGCTTAGGAAATACTATTCCTAAATGTAATATTTTCTAGGTCATTTCTATATACTTGAATAAAAGGGCCGAGTGGGAAACTATAAAACATATCTGACAGAAAATAATTGAACTATATACCAATATATAGATATACTGAAAATTACTTTTGATACAATTTTAAGAGAGATTGACTGCTTTCTGCAAAAGAATTTTGATTATTTCCCAGAAAATTATTTTCAAGAGTGATTAATTTTGTTTTTCGCTAGAAGAATAATAGGACAATATTTATAATAATTCCGCTCAGCAAAAATAAAAAGAAAAAGAAAAAGACTCCTTGTCTCTTATTATAAATCAATATTCATATGAAAATACAAAAAACGTATTATAATGAAAAAGAAGTAAAAATAATAATTTAAATAATGTATCCGGTAAATAAATATTTAATTTAAATAATTATACAATCGATTACTTTTCTATTATACAATAAATGTTCATTCCTTTTAAATAATAATTATTCAAATTTAATTGTTTATTCTACTCAAATTATTATTATTATTTGTATAATTATTTTAATTAAAAATTAGTTAATTACTCGAATACCAAAAAATTATTCGAATCATGTAAAATAATTCAAAAAAAATAAGTGTACGAGTAAAATGAATATTTGAATTAATAATTAATTAATAAGAAAGAAAAACGAAGACATTCAGACAAAGATTCGTTTAATGTTACTCCAACGTATTCGGAGTAACATTAAACGAATCTTTGTCTGAATGTCTTCGTTTTTCTTTCTTATTATTAAAACCACTCGGACGTTAAAGACTTTACTATAATAATTAATTGTTACGAAAAATTATTGGAATTAAAATCGAATCAAAAATTATTTTTATTAAATATTTAATCGAAACGGTATAGGTACAAAAACAGGGTGGACAAAAGTCAAAAGGTGGTCCGACCTTGACTAAACTTCCCTACAATATGACAATGTCATGTTTTTAAAATAAAAACTTTTTTGAACATTTATGGCACAAAAACTTTACTTTTACTGGACTGTGAAGGGGTTAAAATAAAAATCTTCTGAGTTGAAATGAATTGAAATTCATATAAATATAGTCAAGATACAACCGATTTTCTTTGAATCAAAGAAAATGTTCAGTTCATGAAAATGGAAATAAATATATTTTATCGAAAATAAAAAGGACATATACATTTTATCGACAATGTTATAGAAAAAGTTCTTTTCAAAATAAAATACAAGAAAAAAAGAAAGCTTTTCTTTATCTCCAGGCAGCATTTTTCAAATTTATCTTGAAACATTTATATATACTACATATATAATGGAAAGAGAGTGAAAATATTTATTCAACTCTCTTTTCGTCGTTTTACAAAGAACCACTTCTTTCGCCATTTTGCATTCTCACTGGTCATCGAGAAAAGTCAATTCTTGATGAGGACAGTCAGTGGCTCTTGAACAAAATTGAACCAAGTAACTCTGAGCTTTTATACCTTTTAGAATTTTCTTTTTTCTTGTTTGAAAACTTGGGGTCTACATTGTTTTAAAAGTATAAAAATTCTTTTCGTAAAACATTACCAACAATATAAGTAAATAATACAATCTTACATTATTCTCAATGATAAAATATTTACTTCTCGACGTAAACCATAAATTTTGAAGAATTTTATAATTATATATAATATTATATTCATACTTTGAAATTATAAATTTTATTTTTCAATTTTCCCAGAATTTTTCACGAATTTTATAATTATTTAAAGTGTATAATATTAAGTCAAAAATTATGATTTCCTGTTATGTAAATTCTAGACAAATATCGAATAACAGAATAATAATGAATAAAAAATAATATAACTCCCTCGCAGTTTGTATAAAGTCAGAAATTAAAAAATTCAAAATGTACTTAATCCTAGCTTGTTTATCCTTGTAGGCCCTAGGTTGAAACGTCACGCTCTTCTAGCCTGGTTCTACCTAGAGAATCTAGTTAGGCCCAATAACAGGAACAGTTTAATTAACTATTTAAAAAAAATTATTTATCTATCTATCTATATATATAAAATCAGACTTTTGTCTGTACATTGCTCAGAACTTTAAATTTCGCACATAATTATTCGTTTTAGGCATCAAGGATTCCAAATATACCAATAAAAAATTTCGTGTATGTATGTATGTATGTATGTGTGTCGGTATGTCACAGAATCTTTGTTCGCTCATCACTTAAAAACGGCTGAACCATTTGAAACCAAATTTGGCAGAATGTTAGACCTTGGGCCAAGGAAGGTTTATAAATTTACAGATTTGAAAAATATTAATTAGAACGGGAGATATTCAATTTTTTCAAAAAATTCAAAAACCAAAAATTTTCAAATTTTACATTTTTTTAAAAAATGCTTTCAAATTTTCTATAATTGAGTATAACATGTTATTTAGTCACATTTTAGAATAGTTTTGTCAAAAATAATATCCTATAACTAAGATGTAAGTATAAAATTTTTTTTAAAAAATTCAAAAAATCGAAATTTTTCAAATTTTATATTTTTTAATAAATTGCTTTTAAACTCTCTATAATTGAGTATTACATGTTATTTAGTCAAATTTTAGCATAATTTTTCAAATAATACTGTCCTATAACTAAGATGTAAGTATAAAAATGATTTCGAAAAATTAAAAAAATCGCAAATTTACAAATTTTATATTTTTTAATGGACTGCTTTTAAACTATCTATAATTAATCATTACATGTTATTTAGTCACATTTTAGCATAATTTTTCAAAAAATAATATCTTATAACTAAGATTAAAGTATAAAAATGTTTTCAAAAAATTTTAAAAATCACAAATTTTACATGTTTTGATGATTTGCTTTTAAACTCTGTATAATTGAGTGTTACATGTAATTTAGTCATATTTTAGCATAATTTTGCACAAAAAATGATATGACTAAGATGTAAGTATAAAAATATTTTCCATATCAAAAAATCGAAAAAATTATAATTGTTATTAATTACTATCAAGTTTAATTCAGTAGTATTTTTGGGGTTAGGGGAGACTGGGGTAAACCCGCTCACTAGCGATTTTACGCTATAAACTCAACTTAAGATGGAGATATTGGTACTGTGAATAGTACTTAACATTCAACTTATATTAACGAATTTTCGTTTAGTTTCATGAATTCAACATAGAATCAGAGGCGATCAAATGTTTTTAGAGGTATCAGAAAAAAACGTTTTTTGGATTTTTAAGTTTTTCGATAATTATTTTTGAGTCTTAATTTATTTGGCAAATTTTTTTTGTTGCTATTGAATGTCCTTCTTCGAAGTACATGTATAGTTTTATCTTATTTCAAAAAGATTTAATTGAATTTATTCTGAAATGTGTGGAATACACTCGGGGTAAAGTCGCTTACGTGAAGTCGGGGTAAAGCCGCTCATTTAGTTTTAAATTTAAAATTTAGAATAAAATAATTTCACGTATTATATTTCAACAATAACACAATTTATGACTTATTAAAACCAAAATTGTAACTACATTTCACTTTCTCTTAATAAAATATAACACTATTTAAATCCATAGTTGTAATTCATGAAATCTATGTTCATTATTTATTAAACCAATTTGTTGTTTATAGAAATGTTTATATAACTCATAAATTATCAATAATAAATCATACTTAAGACGGGAATAAGACGAACTTTAATATTTAAAAAATAAAACTGTTCCGTCTTGAAAAGATAAAGTGAGCGGGTTTACCCTGGAAAATTGTGATTTCGAAATTTGGTATATGTTTATTAAAAAGTTTCTCTAAGTAAAACTAAAAAAGATAAATCAAAAACTCTTTTTTATTTTTTTTAGTAGAAATCATAAGCTTTCAAATTATATAAATTAACTTGGATTTAGAGAATAATTTCCTAGATTTTAGCCGATCTGAAAAAAAGTGAGCGGGTTTACCCCAGTCTACCCTATTTTTATTTTATGAAAATACTCTTTTTTAAGAAAATATGTTATATACCAGTACCAGTCTTTGACGGGATTTAGTTTACCATAATAGAATTGACAGAGTGTCTACCAATTGCGCGGGGAAACCGATAAATAGCTGGGAGTTTAATTTGACCAGGAAAAACCGGGAATTTTCTTATTAAATTAAAAAAGTTTTATTATATTAATTTGATTTTAAAAACTGCTTTTTACTTTAATTTTTATTGTCTAATTGTCTAATTGTGACACAATTATTTATAATTAGACTCTTCTTTGACTCCAAAAGCTGGTGTAAATTTAGGATTAATTTTTAATACATTAATTGCAGTACTACGAACGCACAAAGTACTACAAGTTGCCAAATACTGTTCCTGAATATCAAATTTGATAGAAAAAAATCTGTCACTGATTGAAATAGTAATATTTTCCTCACGAAATAGTTAATGGTAACTAATTATTAGTTTTTCATAGTAAAATTTAATTCCCGGCTATTTCCCGGTTGGTAGAAACCCTATCAAATATATTAGCCGACAGCTAGTTCTTATTAATTATTATTGAGATTCATTATTTCAACTTTTTTTTACCTACTTTTGTTATCATGTAATTTATAATACTTAATTCCTATAATACTAATAGAAAAAAAATCCCCACACGTTGGGAGTTGAACGCACGACCCTAACATTCGTAAACCGATAACCTAACCACTTAACCACGCTCGCTCGGTACGATGCGTTGCATGATACTTCAGGTTATTCTTGTCATCATAAGTCATATGAACTATTCTATTATAAATGCCTCAAAATAATAAAACTGAAGTCAGTAACATTTTCGTTGACGCAAAATGAGAAAAGAATTTTTTTAACCCCTTGGCAGTCGATGACGTG